ATGTAACAAATTCAGCAAACTAGTATCAATGCATCATATACAAACATGAACATTTTCCCAGTGAATTACTGTATTATTCACTCTTTGACTTTGTCTTGTTTTGTCATCAATGTTGCCAAGTTTGTCTAAGCTTTTCAAAGAGTCAACTTGCTTGCTCATGTAGCCTCTGAATCTATCACTTTCTAACTAATGTTTATATCTACCTCCAAACTAGATTACGTAACACTAATCTCTTCCTTCATTGCAACTTGAATTCTAGAACAGCATTCCTTTTGGCACAAACTCTGCGTAACCAACTAATTTTAGTTCTAAATAGTTTTTGTTTAGAAAAGACCCTCATAAATGTAATGTTATTTCAGTTATTCGTGACTAGGGGAGCTTCCTTATCATACTACTTGTCAGTTTTATGCCGCTATACAACTGACTTTCACCATGTAAAATATCCTTAAAAAATAAAAACAAATGCTTTTCTTTTTCATAATGTTCTATAAAACTAGAATCATACTTTCCCTATCCTTAATGTTCCTTAAACACCCATGTACATCCAGACTATTATAAAAGAATTATTTTTTGTTCAACAAATTTACCATGTTCAAAGCATTGTTCTAAACAAATATTAATTTATTTCTCAGAGTAGCCTTAGGATTACTTCCACTTTCCTAGATGGAGGTACCGAGAAATTATATAGTAATATAGGCAGTTAAGTGGATGAACCTGAATTCAGACCCCAGAAAACTGGTTTTAAGACAATGGGCCTCTTCACCATGTTATAGTCTTAATCACACATCTTTCAATTGTTCTAAAAGTATTTTCTTAATCTTGACCAATCACAGGATCAGTCTACCAAGTTAACATTTTAGCTTCTTGAAATATAAGTTCAATTACTCAAGTCCAGTTTACACTATGGAAACAATTTTTACAGGGCTAGAGATGTAGGTCAGTGGCAGAGTATTTGGCAAGCATGCACAAGGCCCTATGTTAGCTTCATACCATGTGTGTGTTGGGGCGGCGGGGCAAGGGGTGATTTTTAGGCAAACTAAGTGGTATAACAGTGCTCTCTAGGCATTCTACAATGAATAAAAAATGTCATAGAGAGATGTTAACTATATAGATATACTTAAAGCAATTTTTCAATGTTCTTAGAATTCAAAATATAATGCCTAAGCTGAAGGCCAGTGGCTCAGACCTCTAAGCTTCTTGGGAGACTGAAATCTGGAGGGTTGTGGTTTGAGGGCAGCCTGGACATACACACAAGACTTCTCTTTTCAGTCAGTAACCAGGCATGGTGCCATCCTACCAAATAGAAGCTGAGATTGGGAGGATTTCATCAATGGAAGAAGCTGGATATGGTGGCATGCACCTGCTATCTTGGCTATGATGGGAAGCATAAAGCGAGCAAATCATAATTCAGGCCTGAGCCCAGGGGATCCTATTCTCAACATAACTAATAGTGGAAAAAAAAGAAGATTGGAAGCCTGGCTTAGTGGCAGAGTGCCTGTCTGCCTAGCAAGTGTAAGGTCCCACGTTTAAACTCCAGTACTATCAAAAAAGGGAAAAACAAATGTAATACATGAATCTGTTAAAGCAATGTTAGACGAAGCTTCTTTTTATAAGATAGATATTATATGCATACATATATAGAGACACATACACTTTTGTGCAAAGCAACTAAAAAATTGAGAAAAAAGAAAGTTGAGAATGTGACTTTAATCAACTGAAAGTAATAAAAGTATGATTTAAAGCCAATTTATGGCTGGGTGCTGGTAGCTCACATCTTAAATTTTCATTACTCAGAAAGCTGAGTCCTGGAAGATTAAAGCTCAAAGTCAGCCCAGGCAGAAAAGGGCAAGAGTCTCCCTCTCCAAAATAATCAGCAAAGAACTGAACTGGAAGTGTGTCTCAAATGGTAGAATACCAGTTAAGCAAGCAAGCCCAACAAGTATTAAGTCCCCGAGTTCAAATCCTAGTACTAAAAAGAGAACAAAAGGAAAGAAAAGAAATCATTTACCATGTTAGTATAAATGATGAAAAGACTGACACAAAGTGCAAAGGTATTAAATGTTTATGTTATTTGGTTCATCTAAGAAGCCAATGACTATAAACAGCACTGTTATTTTATGTGCCTCTGAAAAGGAATTTAAAAAAACTACACATCATCTCAATTATGACTATGCTATCAACTTTTGATACATCCAGATTTCACATCTGAAAAAAATAAAGACTTTAAAAGGGGCTGGGAAGGTGGCTTAGTGGTAGAGCGCTTGCCTTGCATGCATGAGGCCCTGGGTTCGATTCCTCAGCACCACGTAAGAAAAAAGAAAAAAGCCGGAAGTGGTGCTGTGGCTCAAGTGGTAGAGTGCTAGCTGAGGGACAGTGCCCAGGCCCAGAGTTCAGGCCCCACAACTGGACCCAAAAAATAAATAAATAAAGACTTTAGATTCAATGAAACATAGTTAAGTCACTATATGGGACCAATCAGGTCTGAGGAAGCTGAGTTCAATTCAAAGAACAGTAACATTAAATTCAAGAAAAGTACTATCTATACATTAACTGGGATTAAAGGTCATGCTAAAAATTCCAGAATATAAATCTGGCACATTCCTTGCCCTCAAAGTGATCAGAGTTGAGCAGTTAACATTAAATAACTGTAGTACTAATGAATCTCTGAAATACTCAAGTTCTTTCAAGCTAGTAATTACACTGTTGTATATTTATCCTAAAAGAATTCTGAAGAAACAAACTTTCATGAAAACAGATCACATTTTTTAAAAATGACAGCAAAATGAAAAATCTGGAAATCTGATCAACCATTTTTATTAAAAACTTGAAAAACTATATGGTGCCTAATTACCTGTGTATCTTGGGACAACATGGCTATACTGTTATTAAAACATTTTTGCTTAAGGAATACTCAATGAAGTTTTTGATGGCAGAGAATGCAGTATCTGCAACTGAATCTCAAACAAATACACTCACACTATTAAGCAGGGGAGCAAACTGTGAACAACTGATAAATCTGGATTAAGGATATATAGGAACTCCTTTACTATGCTGTGTGTGTGTGTGTGTGTGTGTGTGTGTGGATATTTAGGAACTCTTTTATTATGCTTTGTGTGTGAGTGTGCATGCACGTGCACACGTATGTTGGGGGGAGGGGAGTGATTGTGTGCATGTGTTTGTGCCAGTACTGGGGCTTGAACTCAGAGCTAAGGCACAGTCTTTTAGCTTTCTTCCCTCCACGCTGGTGATTACCACTTGAGCCCAGGCTGGCTTACTACCATCTTCAGATCTCAGTTTCCTGAGTAGCTAGGATTACAGGGGTGAGTCACTGGGGTCAGGCTCATTTAGTGTTCTTGAAATTATCTACATTGAAATTATACCTAAAGCAAAAAAACCCACCAAAATAATTAGATTTGTGAGCAAAACTGGCAACACATATACATGTAATTTAAAAAGGGAAATACTATTGATTCTCAATTTTTGTTAGCGTTTGGTAGTTTTAGTAATATAGATTTAATTAAATATTCCTTATCTGAAATGCTTGAAGTGTTTCAGATTTTAATTTTTTTCACATTTTTACAAAATTTTAGTGTATATTTGCATATACAGTATGACATAGGGATGAGGCATAAATATAAACACTAAATTCACTTATGTTTCATAAATGCCTCATACACATACAGTAATTCTGTGCAACATTTTTAGCGTACCTGCATTTTATTTTAACTATGTAAGGTCAAGTACAGAGTTTTACACATGTGGTGCTTTCCACATATGGCATGCATCATGTTGGGGTTCAAGAGTTCAGATTTTGGAGCATTTCAGAGTTGGATTTTCAGATTTAACATGCTCAACCTATAAATGCAAACTAAAGAAAAAACACTCATGTTTTTGGAGTGGGAGCACTGCCACAGATATTTTACTAATAGTAGTATATATCATTAACAAGTATGTCTAGGTAAGTCTTAAAAGTATTTATATACCTACTCTAAGGAATAGTGATAAAATAAATACTACAGCTCAAACTTTGAAAATAAAATGTATTTTATTCAACTATAATGCTTTATAATGCTAAGTTATTGTACATAGGAAAAGCGTGCAGACTAAGTTTTCCAAAATATTTATCTTATTTGAGCCTGATTAACAGTAATCAGCTATAGGAAATATGTATTGATAATTTACAAGACTATACACTTAACTGATGAAAAGTACTAAACACAAGTTTAACAGAAATGTATGTTTACACTTTTAATACTTAATGCTATCAGACGATTTAACATCTATTAAAAATATAAAAGACAGAAACCAATTAAACCAGAATTCTACAAATGAAATTTCAGAAACTTATGCCTCAAAATACAAAAGACCTTCCTAGAAGTGTTAGTAAAGCTCCACAACTATAAAACTGTTACTATTTTATTCTAATTGTATCCCTGAGTGAAACAGGTATATCAAATTAATATTGCAAAACTGGTGGTCACAATGGAAAACAGAATTACAGAGGAAAAAGAACAAGTCACCTCATATCTGAGCTTCTACAGAAACAAGCATTCACTTCAACTTTTTATGCTTACGTATATGAAGGCAAACCTGCTCTAAGTAAAATAACAAAAAGCACAGAAATTATGAAAATAACTTTCTCTGGAAGACATTTGTAAAACTCAACATGTAAGGATTACATTTACCAAATAAGATAGCTTTGTAACAAATCTTGTCAGATTTTTTTATCCTTAAAATATACTTTTTTTTCTTGGTGCTGGTTCTGGGGCTTGAGCTCACAGAGTGAGCACTGTTCTTGAGCTACCTCATTTAAGGCTAGTAATCTACCTCTTGAACCACAGCTCTACTATCAGCTTTTTGCTGGTTGTTTGGAGATTAAGAGTCCCAAGGATTTTCCTGTCCAGCCAGTACTATCTTGAACCGCAATGCTCAGATCTCAACCCCCTGAGTAGCTAAGATCACAAGTATAAACTAATTATAAACTTATCTAAGGAACTTACCTTTTTATCCTCTTTTACTTTGTGGGTTTTCTTCTTCAGCTTCTTATCATCTACCTCCTGGTCAGAAGTGATAGCAGGATTATCAATTCCACCTTTCCAAGTTTCAACAGGAGAAAGTAGTGGATCTTCTTCACTTCCACGATGTCTTCCTTTTCTTTTTGTTTTAGAAGTAGTGAAAGCCTCATCATCACTTGCATCTGAATGTGTTCTTCTATAATATGACTTGGCTTTGCTAAATAAAGTTTTAGATTTATATTTGTATTTTGAAGGTCTCCGTTCCCCATGACCCTTTGAGGTTCTATCTGAAAACCCATTTTCTTCATCTCCTTGGGTATTATTTACAAATGAGTTTCGAATTTTAATAATTCGATTTTGACTATCTTCTGGAACAACATAAATCTCATCAGAGTAGCCCTTCTGTTTGAAAATGGTGTCAATGGGCTCCGCATAGTTATCTGAAGAATCCATATCTTCAGGATGTGCCAAAGGGACCCGAGAAATCTGTTTTCTTGGATTTTTACCAATACCAGCTTCAATTGTTTTTAAAAGGTTTGGATCCAGTTTCTTCACATTTGTCTTAGGTACAACTGGTTTAGGTTTAATAGGTGGAGGCACTTTATGGTTGCGTTCATGATCATGACAGTTCGGGGTGCTATGAATAGGATATTCATTTCCTTCCAAATCTAACCTGTATCTGGAACGGTCACTAGGTGTTGGAAGCAACTGTACATCATCCCCAATTGGACTATAAGGAGGTGGTGCTTCGGTGTCATCATCTGAATCAGGGTAGTTGTTATAGGGAAAACAGTCTCTGGGGGATGGTAGAAAAACATCCTCACTTTGATGGGCTGATTCTCTTGTATTATCAGACAAATAGGAATTTTCTATCATATTTTTTTTCTCTAGGACATCACTAAAAAACAGAGTAAAGACTTCTGTCTGCCGATGATACTGAGATAAAGAATATAATGCTGTAAATTTAGCAGTGATCTCAGTTGCAATATGTTCTCCTTCAGTCATTAATTCTTTGATAGCCTCATTTTCAAAAAAATCTGCTTGGCTGTCAGTAACTGCCACCAGTTGTACAGGAATGGTGTCCTGAACTTCTGACAGAAATGCTCTAAGCATTCCCATTGATGCTTTCCGTTTTGCAGAGTAAACTAATATATACCCATGAACCAGTTCATCTTTCCTTACTCCAATTGAGGAGTGGTACGATAATATTGTGATCTGTATCCGCCTTCTTTTTTCACCGATAATTTTGTCAAGCATTAGGGAATTATTCTGCCCAGCTTGAGCAGCACTACAAGAATGAGAATCAAGGAAGGGTGATAAAATAAGATCTACACTAAATGGATCACCACACATGGCACACATGACAATTCTCAAGTCAGCTTCTGATACATCTTTATTGGTAGGAACTGGGCTTACCACATCCAAATTGTGTTTAACTGATTCCAAGACTCCTCTTAGAGCTTGCTTTATTTGGGATTCATTAAATTTACGAGGATATGTACCAGGAGGTACATCTACAAAAGGACACTGTAACTTGTTTGCCAACTGCTGTCCTTGGTGCCTGAGAATGGGTAGATTCTTACTAATGGAATCGCGCTGATTAGCCAAAATTAATGTAAATGGAAGATTAGCCATATATGTATCTTTTCTGATCTGAGAAGCTTCAGTTCTCACTTTTCCAATAAATTCCCCAATCAAACTCAATGACTCAATGGAATTAAATACACAGAAGCACCCATGTGGTTTAAAGGCGGCAGTCCATAATTGACTCAAAATGTAAGGCGATTTGGCATCAACTGGCCGAAGATCAAGTTCATAAATTTTTCCATCTAAGGCATATTCATCATCAGTGGATTGCGTCCTTATCTCATTTGCTAGTTCTTGGGCAAGACCATCTTTCCCTAAAATGAAAAGGTTAACTTTATCTATATTGGTACTATCATGATATAAGCGTAGGCGTCCATGATCCAACTGTAAAAGACTACTGGCAAGTAAGTGCTCCACTTTAATGTCTGTACAATTTTGGCCACTAAGGCATGTTTCTTTAGTGGGATGATAAACAAATCCTATGTGTTTAAGGAGAAGCGATTCCCTATCAGGTGCAAGTTTCTGTAAAGCTTTGTACCTAGGTTCTTCACTCAGAACTGTATGAATTTCACTCATTTTATCTGAACTTGGTGTTGCATTAAGGTCTAAATCATAAAAAAGTTCAGAATGCTCAAAAAGCATTTCCTGGAACTCTTCTTTGGCTTTTTCAACTATCTCTCGCTGATGCCTACCATACACCTCTTTGCTGTCAGCCTCAGTGATGTATTTGAAGGCTTCATCCTCCATAACAAAGCACATAACTTCCTCCCATGGCTGCCCAGGTGAAATGAACTGAATTTTTTCCAAAGTCTTCTTAAATTTTTCCTTCATTTCAATTCGCCTTTTCTCTGATATTAGATGTTGTACATGGTTCTGATAGACCTTTTCAGCTTCTAAAGTGCCCAAGAGGTCAAATGGGATTCGTCTATCATTTATTTTGTCTATATGGTCAGTTTCATCCCAAGGTGTTTTTTCTAGCACCACAAAACATAACTGGAAATCTGCTCTTTTCTCCATTAATTTCAAAGCTTCTGACCAATTCAAATGTTCTATCTCCTCCAAGTTTGGCAAAAGAGTATTAAAAGCTCTTGGTAAGGTATTTATATATTCTTCTCTTCTTTTTCTTATATGTTCCTGTTTAAGTTGTTCTATATGTTTTGAGAACGTATTTCTGGCCTTTCTTGTTCCCTCTAAGTTGATGTATTCTTCATAATCAGGATGATTTTTTAATTTATTACTAACAGTTTTCCAAGTTGCATGATAGTCTCTCACCGTCTGCACAAGTTTTTCAAACTTATCTGTTGCTGTGACAACAAGTTGTCTCTGTGTTTTATAAGCATCCAGATAGGGAATAATTTTAGGTTTGCCACGAGTTTTATCCAACATTTGTACCAGTGCAATGAAACATGTCTCAATGTTGACATTAAATCGTGCTGATGTTTCCACTACAAGAAGGTTCTTTTTGTTTGAAGCAAATGCTTGAACTTCTCTAAGATAATGATCCACACATTCGTCACATTTAGTTGCTGCTATTATTACAGGTTTTTTTGATTTTGATAGCTGGACAAAAAGGTTATTGACAAATTTAAGTTGATCATCAAATTTCCTATTACATCCTTGACTTACATCAATGCACAATAAAAATCCATCTACATTGAGCTTCCCTTCTGGCATTTGCTTCTGCTCAAAGTCTTGCTCCAAGCCAAGTTGATCAGTGCAAATATACATCAGTTTTTCTGCTGACTGTAATTTAGTGGCAGCTGCACGTTTTATATATGGTTGCAAATTTGTACTCCGATGAGGCAAGAAAGTCTGGTCATCAATGAACTCTGTCTGTTCAATGACATGAATTTTGCATTCTACTCCATCTTCACCACTTTGTATTATGTCACCCCAATATAAAAAGTGATCATTGTTTACTACTCTTCCTCCAAAGTCAATGGTGCTAAGCACAGAAGTATGCTCTGGATAATATTCATCTGCTTTTGAGCGTACAAATCTATTGCACAAACAAGACTTTCCAACTCCACAGTTACCTTTGTCTTTTTCAGTTCCAGAGAGTCCAACTACACTGATAGTATAGGATGGGGGACGAGGCTCTTTGTTTTTTGCCATCATAACTTTCTTCTCATGTCTCTACATTCATAAAGGTAACCACATATGCTTTTCATTCTGAAAATAAAGTCATCTCAAAATACAGATCCTGAATTTCAAAATTATATTTGGTTCTTCATATTTCCCTCATTTCCTCAGAAAGGTCTTCAAAATCAGATGGATCATCTCCCTAGAAAGATGGAAAAAAGACAAATTTTAACCAAGAATTACATATAACAAATGCTCATGCAAAATTAATAATTCTAGGGGCTGGGAAGGTGGATCAGTGGTAGAGTGCTTGCCTTGCATGCCTGAGGCCCTGGGTTCGATTCCTCAGCACCACATAAGCAAAAAGAAAAAAAGCCGGAAGTGGCTCTGTGACTCAAGTGGTAGATCGCTAGCCTTGAGCTGAAGAGCTGAGGGACAGCGCCCATGCCCAGAGTTCAGGCCCCACAACCGGACCCCCCCCCCAAAAAAAATGACTAATTGTAATGTCAATGTATCTTAAGAAATGTTTTAATTTACCCATAAAACGAAAATAACCTCAAAATTTAAGGCAAATCTACAAAACTTTAATGTAATGGATCACAAACTTTAAAATGAACTCATAGTAATCAAACGTGAATTATAGCTCTGCTCCTTCCAATGGGGTTGACAAACAACTAATTCTTTCCACTCTTAATATTACTGCCTTCTATGAGGCTATGCTGATAGCTAAAATGTACTGGTTATTTTAACAATTCCTTTACAAATTTACTCAATTTTGCTTCACCATGCCAAGGACTAAAACCCAAGTCTTATGCGTATTAAGTACTTTATCACCAAACTGTATTCCAATTTTCCTTACTTTTTAAAAATGAAGTACTACCTGCTTTCTGAATTCCCTAAGGCAGAATTCTGTATAAATTTAACAAACTTCTAGAATTAAAAGAAAAACTTTTCAATAAGTTTCAACATTTCTGTAAAATCTATGAAATTTTCTACCAAATTCTATTAAGGCTATGCAAATACTTTAACAGGAAACAGAAAAAATGGGTAAGGTCTGTAGATATGGCTCAATAGCAGAGCGTAAGTTTAGCATACACAACTTCCTGGGCTTGATTTCTAACATCAGAAAAAAAAAAGAGGAGGAGACACAGAATGATACAATGACAACTATTAAATAGGTCAATAGATCTCAAACTAAAAGACTGATTTTTATTTCCTATCTATAAGGCCAAGTGTACAACACAATACGTGGACTTAAAAAAAAAAATCCATGCTCATGCCAGTAATCCTAGCTACTCTGGAGGCTGAAATCTAAGGATCGCAGTTTAAAGTTAGACAGGGCAGGATAGTCAGAGACTCTTATCTCAATAAACTACCAAAGAAGCTGAACATGGTTATGGCTCAAAGAGTAGAGCACTAGCCTAGAGCAAAATCTCAGGGACAGAGCCCCAACCTTGAATTCAAGGCCCAGAACTGGCACTGGCACAAATACACACCCACACTCACATGTATCTATACTTCAATTTTTTTAGATTCAAGACAAATTAAAATTACTATAAAGTTGTTTTTAAATTCTCTTGATTCACACAATGTTGGTTGAGGTTGGAGGCCTCCCCTTTTGCCTAGGCTGACTTCAAACCACAATCCTACTGATCTCTAACACCAAAGAAGCTAGGATTACATGTCTGTACCACCGGCACCAAGCACTAGGTGTAGCATTAGTAAACTGGTTTCAAAATTTATTATTTACTATTTGGTGGCGATGGCAAAGCCCTAAGACCTAAAACATGGTTCTCTCATCTATAAAACAAGGGTATTTACTTATTTTCACAAACTAAACAATTATTTAAAATGTGAAGTACCTAGCAACTAAAAGGGATGTAATAAATACTGGTTCCGTTTCTTAATTTGGTTCTTGGAACTATGGGAAGCTGCGTAAAACTTATGAAAAGGACGTAATTAAAATGTACAATCTGACAATATAAATATAATAAAAGATAAAGGAAATGGAGGCAGTCTCAACCAATTCTATTAAAATTTTAAAAAATTTTAGTCTGAATACTCTATCTAGCACCAAGTTTAACATTCTTTACCCAAAATATGCAAAAGAACAATTACACTATTTATGTTTGCAGAAAAGCATAATACATTAACTGGGTAGTAATTTATATCCACTAACTGAAATTAGTTTATGAAAATAACTGTTTTCTAAGGTAGTTTACTAGATTATTCAAATATTGTATGCTCACAAGGCAGCTTTCTAAAATTAAAAAAATTGCACAAAGAGGAATAGAATTGAAAACCCAGAAATGAACCTACAGACCTATAGCCATCTAATCTTCGATAAGGGAGCTAAAACAATAGAATGGAAGACAGACAGCCTCTTCAGTAAATGGTGCTGGCAAAACTGGTTAACTACATGTAGAAAACTAAAGCTAGATCCTTATATATCACCCTGCACCAGAATCAACTCCAAATGGATCAAAGACCTTGAAGTCAAAGCAGACACTCTGAAAACATTACAGGATGGAATAGGAGAAACCCTGGGTCTCCTTGGCTCAGGCCGAAATTTTCTGAATAGAGACCCGGAAACACAACAAATCAAAGAAAGGCTGGACAAATGGGATTGTATAAGGTTGCAGAGCTTCTGCAGGGCAAATGACATAGCTAGCAAGATCAATAGAAAGCCCACGGACTGGGAGAAGATCTTTACTAGCCATACAACGGACAAGGGTCTCATATCTAAAATATACTTGGAACTCAAAAAATTAAACCACCCAACAACAAATCCTCAAAGAAACAACTGCCCAATAAGTAAGTGGGAGAAAGACTTAAAGAGAAGCTTCTCTGAAGAAGAAAGAAGGATGGCCAATAGACACATGAAGAAATGTTCAACATCCCTAGCCATAAAAGAAATGCAAATCAAAACAACATTGAGATATCACCTCACTCCAGTTAGAACAGCAAAAATCAAGAACTCTAACAACAACAGATGCTGGAGGGGATGTGGACAGAAAGGAACCTTACTTCATTGTTGGTGGGAATGTAAACTTGTTCAACCACTTTGGAAAGCAGTATGGAGGTTCCTCAAAAGACTCCACATAGAGCTCCCCAATGACCCAGCAATCCCACTTTTGGGCATTTACCCAAATGATCACAAACAAGGCCACACTAAAGCTACCAGCACAACTATGTTTATTGCAGCATTATTTACCATAGCTAAGACATGGAACCAACCCAGATGCCCCTCAGTAGATGAATGGATCAAGAAGATGTGGTATATATACACAATGGAATTCTATGCCTCCATCAGAAAGAATGACATTTCCCCATTTGTTAGGAAATGGAAAGGCTTGGAAAAAATTATATTAAGTGAAGTAAGCCAGGCCCAAAGAAACATAGGTCCCATGGTTTCCCTTATTTGCAATATCTAGTATAGGTATGAGTCAAGCGGAAAAAGTCAGATAATGTGATGTTAGGAAAACGAAACCTCAAATATGTATTTTAATGTTTTTGTTTCTTTCATGCAAGTGTTTCTAACGCATTTATAAGATTATTTCTTTGTTGCTTTGTATGTCCCTCCCCCACAGTGTAACCCCCGCTTTCACTATATTTGATGTCAGTATAACATGTGGAGGAGATGGGGACAAACAAGTCGTTTAAGGATTCAGGTGGACCTGTTGCAACAATGAGAAGTACAAAATGTCATGTCAAAACCAGCTTTACAATGTCGGTGTGGGGGGGGAGGGGGGGTATGATTGGGTGGGAGGGAGGGGGGAGGCTGGGAAGGGAGGTGAAGGGTAAACAAAGGAGGAGGCTGCAATGCTTGGTAAGAAATGTATGCATTATCCTGCCCATGTAATTGTAACCCCTCTGTACAGTATGTTCTCAAATAAAATAAAATAAAATTAAAAAAAAAAATTGCACAAAAAATCCAGAAAAATAAAAAAATAGATTCTTAGCAATTCACAATTTAAACTTAAATGTTTTTAGAGATAGAATACTAGTTACCAGTGCCTGGAGAGCATATGGAGAAAGAAAAATTAGATAGAGTGGTGTTTATAAGGATGAAGCTAGATAGTAGAAATAGCTTCTAACATTCTATAATACAGAAAGACAACCACAATATTTCAAATTAACTAACTTTGTATATTCCCAACACAAAAAATGCTTGAAGAGATAGATGTGCCAATTATTCTGACCTAATCATTCATTATATATTGCATTCATGTACTAGAAGTCTTTGCTGAATCTCATAATTTAAAATATAAAAATTTAATAATAAAATGTGCCTTCACAAAACATTGTTGCATTCATTAACAAACGGTATAATTTTTTTAAATTCTTGCTTTTAAGTTATCATATTATGTCAGGAAATTTCTATTCTTTTCTTTAAAAAAAAAAACGAAACTTTTAATTTTCTATCCTTTGTAATTTCCTACTTTTACTGTGATACCTGATCCTATATATCATCAGGTATGGTTCAAAATTACTCTGAAAGCTTTGTAATTTTCCTGCTTCATCCTGCTCTCTTCTCCTTCATTCAAATCAGGGCAGCCAAATGCTCTTTTTAAAGCAGAAAGTAGAATCTTCCATCCTAAACTTTCCAGTGTTCTTTTTTTTTTTTTGGGGGGGGGGGGGTCCGGTCGTGGGGCCTGAAGCCTGGGCACTGTCCCTCAGCTCTTCAGCTCAAGGCTAGTGCTCTACCACTTGAGCCACAGCACCACTTCTGGCTTTTTTTTCTTTTTGCTTATGTGATGCTGAGGAATCGAACCCAGGGCCTCATGCATGCAAGGCAAGTGCTCTACCATTGAGCCACCTTCCCAGCCCAACTTTCCAGTGTTCTTTTTTTTTTTTTTTTTTTTTTGGTCCGGTTGTGGGGCCTGAACTCTGGGCCTGAGCGCTGTCCCTCAGCTCTTCAGCTCAAGGCTAGTGCTCTACCACTTGAGCCACAGCGCCACTTCCGGCTTTTTTTCTTTTTGCTTATGTGGTGCTGAGGAATCGAACCCAGGGCCTCAGGCATGCAAGGCAAGCGCTCTACCACTGAGCCAACTTCCCAGCCCCTTTCCAGTGTTCTTAAAGTAAAAGATAAGTCTTTTCAAGGACCTACCACTACAAGGCCTGCCCTTTCCAGTCTTTTCTTGTCTAGTCTAATACCATTTTCCCCACTGTCACATATCCTAAGGAACACATGCTAAGCAT